TACCCTGCGCGACACGGCCACGTCGAATTCTTCAAGCAGGGAGAGGTACTGGTGGTTTAAGGCACTGGCCACACACGGGCATGAGCAACAGCTGCCCAGGTTCAAACCCTGGCAGCTTCAACATCCCAGATCTTCAATAATATAATCCGGGACCTGGGCGGGGCAAGGCAGCGTGGGCGCGTGGCGCGCGTGCACGTGCGCCGGGTCGTGACGACAAAGGAGGAGGTAGAGATGGAGCTGGAAGGGACAGCGCAGCTCCGACGCAAACTAAACACGCACGTACTCCAAGATGTGCAAAAGTGAAGAATCAAATGGAAAACAGACAACAACTGGGGTATACCCCCAGCGGACTGACTGACTGAACTGGACTGGCCTGGTACCGACAATGGTACAGGGCAGGACTGGACTGGACTGGAACAGCACACGGCCTGTGGGGTCAGGCCACGGCCTAGTCCCACAGGCCAAACAGGCAAATAGTCGAAAAGGCCCTGGCTGTAGGTCAGGGCAAATAAAGGCCCGCTGCAGCTCGTGTGTGTGTGTGTGTGTGCCTGTAAGTGTGTGTGTGTGTGTGCGGGCACTCATGTCTGTAAGTGTGTGCACGTGTGTGAGGGCACTCATGTTTCCCGAGTGTACTTGTGCTTCTTTCGTATGTGCTCTGGGCTGCGAAACGGCACGCTGATTGAGCGCGGGCCTGGCGCTCGTATTTTTTAGCGGCGCTTAAAACCACTTTTGAGCGCGCCTTCAGCGCCTCGAGCGCTTTCGCGGAAGGGGTGTGTACTGGGGAGGGGAAGGGTCGAAGTCGGGTTTCTGGGTCGTGGGCGCGGGAAAAGGGGTGGGAGCGGGGTGGGGGGGGTTGTGTCCACCCGAAAACCAAACAGGATGAGGGGAAAAAAAAAAAAAAAAAAAAAACCCCCGAAGTCGGCTAGGACGAAAGTCACGAAACGGTCGAAACCGTTCATAACGAAGAGCGCGCGGATGAGCGTGCACTCATCCGCATCGGTGCACGCTCAAACACTGAGCGAGCAGTCGGTCACTAGAGAGAGAGAGAGAGAGAGAGAGAGAGAGAGAGAGAGAGAGAGAGAGAGAGAGAGAGA